AGGTGATGACTGGAGCAATGTCTTCTTCTCTTTCTCTGTATAGCTCTCCTTTCTCTGGTACTCTACTCCCAGCTTTGCCTGCTTTGGCCTTGCTGCTTTTCTACTTTTTTAAAAAAATATATTTTATTGATATTTTACAGAGAGGAGGAAGGGAGAGAGATAGAGACTAGAAACATCGATGAGAGAGAAACATCGACGAGCTGCCTCTTGCACACCCCCTACCAGGGATGTGCCTGCAACCAATGTACATGCCCTTGATGGGAATCAAACCTGGGACTTTTTAGTCCGCAGACTGACGCTCTACCACTGAGCCAAACCAGTTTCGGCTGCTCTTCTATTTTTATCTCAACTCAGGGAGTCTGCCTAGTTCTTCTTGGTTTCACCTTCTCTGCACAGCAGCCTGGCAACTCTCTCTAAATGGTAAGCTGAACCAGTCATGATGCGCTCACCTCATTTCTTCCTTCTCCCTTATGGGCGCATGTCCTGCACTGTTGCCTGTTTTATTTGTTTTTCCTGTGTTTGTTGCTTGTTTCTTATTTTATTTGTTTTAGCAGGAGAGTAAATCCAGTCCTTCTTGCTCCATCTTGGCTGGCTGGACTGGATTACTTTGAGTTATTGTGGTTCCGTTGATAACACAGATTGCCAAGGGTGTCACCTGTTCCTCATTAAATAACCTGAAGATCTGCAATCCACATCTTCTGCCAGTACAGTGAACCCTTGTGCAATGGGTGTTACAAAAGTGTCCTACAAATGAGCTTCATGTAAGACAATCTATTTTTTCCTTCTGGCTTACTTTTTAATTCCTGTGATGTTTTCTCTGCTTCATTTCTCATTACTTTCTCTTTAGCAGTGAATAAAACACCGAGGCTCTCCTCTGTGCCACTCCTTCCCACCATTTTTCTCTTTTCATTTTTTGGTCAGGTATCAGTAATCTAGTCAACATAGTCCTTGTGTACTTAGTTGTGTGCTTGGAGCTAAGGTGCACATGGGGTTGATAAAAACAGGGTCTTTAACTTCAAGACATAGAGATGAATAACCACACCTACTGTTTTGGATTGTTTTTAAAAAAAGGGCCACACCTTCATTTTGGTTCACTGTCCTATGCACTGGAAGTTCATGGACTCCCAGTCAGGGTACATATCTAGGTTTGTGGGTTTCTTTCTCACATCAATGTTCTCTCTCTCTCTTTTCCTTCCTCTCTCTCTCAAATCAATATAATGATAATAAAGTTTGTTGCTACTACAAAAACTAACAAAAACAACAACAACAACAACAACAACAAAAAACAAGAGGTCCACACCTATATTTTGGAATAGATATGGAAACAGAAATAGAAAGTTCAAGATCAGGAATTCCTGTTTTCCTTCTTGTTCCTCAGCTTCAACAAATTATTCATTGAGTGCAATACAACAAAGCACCTTAGTGTTACCTAAGAGACTGAGGCAAGTTATTGACATTGATGATGAGTTTATTATCTTGTGGAAGAATGACACAATAAAGATCCAAGGTGTGGTACCACAGTATATCTTTGAGATTTCACAGGAGAGGATCATTATTGAGGGCTGGAGAGATAAAGGAAGCCTTGGAGACCTAGTTCAAGGAGCAGTAGATTTGGGGGAAAGTGGTAGCATCAGCCCAGTTATGAGCAGGAGTATTCATGGTGTGGCTAGGGACCGTCAGAGAGGTTGAAGTAAGGGACTTTTGCTGGAGAACAGTGGAAAAGTTGGAAGCTTACTAGTATCTGTGAATGCCTCACCTGCCAGCTCAGGCATTTGGACTGTCAGGGAGCTCTGAGGGGTTTGATGGATGGACATGGACAAATATTTGTTCTGAACTGAGGATTAGGGTTATTGTATGCAGAGGAGATGAGGACTGGTGGCAGAGGTGTGAGGGCAGGGACTATTTCTCAATCATCTTTGTATTCCCAGCTGCTAGTTCAGCTTTGGCTTGCTGCTTAAGTGCATGTAAAAGGTCATCTTTCCCTTCTGACATCCTAATGCTCTGCATCACCACCGGCCTTGTTTATGGCAGGCACACACTGAACCTCTTGGTTCCCGTTGGTACTTTGAAGGGCTGAACGCAGGCAAACTTGGATTCAGACTTTCCAGTCTTATGTTTCTTTTCTGAATTCCTCATTTTCTTCCTTTAAGGAAAAGGCACCCGGCCACTATTACAGAAATTACACAACGGGGCCATTCCCAGTCCCCATCTGCCCCATCCCTAACAAATTCTACATAATCTTAACCGACCTCGCCAGGCACACCACGCGAATACACAGAAACCCAGGCGCACGCCCACTCCCAGCCCATCCTGCTGGAGATCCCACATCCCGGATGAGCAGGTGACAGGGCGCGCACTTAGGTACACACGCGCTCAGGTGACTCGGCGCGCGGGCAGAATAACCACTCGTTTGGACACCCGGACACACTCTTTAGTAAGGTGAGCAGACGTCCCGATTTTTAACAATTTGTCCCGCGGCGTTTTAAAAACAGCCCCGATTTTTGGAAAGAATCTTTGACATTGATGATGAGTTTATCATCTTGTAGAAGAACGACACAATCAAGATCCAAGCTGTGGTACCACAGCATATCCGTGAGATTTCACAGGAGAGGATCATTATTGAGGGTTGGAGAGATTAAGGAAGACTTGGAGACTTTAGTTCAAGGAGAAATAGAATCTTTCCAAAAATCGGGACTTTCTTACAACCCCGCGGGACGCGGGTCAAATTGTTCAAAAGCGGGACTATCCCGCCCAAAGCGGGACGTCTGGTCACCTTACTCTTTAGCCACAGGGGCGCACGCTTGCCACGCCCCCCGTTAGCACACCTGCGCGCACGCTCTCGGCCCCCACGCGCCCCGCGTGCAGCGCGCAGGGCCACGCGCCGCCCCTCACGGCCGTGCGTCACTCGCGGGCGCCGTTGCGTCATCGGGGCGCGACGTTGCCGCGAGCGCCGGCGGAGGCTTGAAGTGCCCGCAGCAGCGGCCCCTGCGCCCGCGGAGCTGCGAGTGCGAGCCGCTGGGCGGGAGCGGGCGCGGGAGGCTGCGCGGCCGGGAGCGCCGGGTCAGGTGCGTGGCCGTCCTCCGCGCTGGCGCCGGCGGGACTCCTGCCGGGCGCTGGGGCGGTGTGTCCCCCTGGCCTGTCCCCCCCGAGTTCCCGGGGATCCTCTGAGAAATGGGTTCCGGCTCGTGCAGGGGTGGGGGGTCGGGGTCGTGCTCTTCCGGGAGACCGGGTGGAGGGCAGGCTTCCCCTGTGGACTCAGCACCCTGCGCCCCTGCGCGGGACGCGGGGGCCATGGCTTTGGCGTTGGGGCCGCCGGGGCGCGCAGAGAGGCAGGTGCTGGGGACGGCCCGGCCGCAGGTGACCGCGGACGGACTGGCTGGACTGGGCGCTCGCTGGGTGTCAGGCCCTGTGCAAGGCGCTTTGGATGTGTCTCCCAGTCCTGCGGCCACCCAGGAGGGGGAAGCGATCCTGCTGTGCACATCCAGCGGGGAAACCAGGGCAAAGGAGTTACCCAACTCGTCCGGCGTCCCACGGGAGGGGAGGGGGGATTTGAACTCCGGTATGTTTCACTTCGGAGCTGCCCCTTGCAGAAGCTACAGTTGGCTCCCCACACAGCCCGTAGTCTGGCACCTGTGGATTTAAAAAAAAGAAAAAAATTTTTTTTAATAACTTTTCGACCTTGGATAAACGCTGTGGGCGGGCGGGGAGGAGCGAAGGATAGACTTCCCATTGGCACAGTTGTCCCTCCTCTTCTTGCTGCCTTCATCTTCTCAGGCAGCAAAAGGGCTCCCCCTGTCGAGGAGGCCCCATTCTGCACCTGCAACTGAGAGCTAAGTTTTAGAATCCGGGACAGCTCTCAGGCCACGTGCGTTGCTTTACTAGTCTCTCCTCACCCAGAGGATGTTCAGTTGGTAAGGACGCGGGGTAGTGGTTGTGCTGAGGATAGCAGGCACCGCAGCAAGCCCATGTGGGGTTGTAAAGAAGGCAGAGGATGGACTCCAGGGAGCCCTGTTCACCTGCAATTGAGCTTTCAGGGGTTTGAAGGAGTAATGTAAGGCCAGGTGACAAATAGCCAGAAGTTATCTCAAGGTAATGTAAAAGTTATGTTAGAACGTTCTTATATTTTAGATTACTGTCTATCAGTCTTCTTTAGTCATTCAAGGTTCCTGAACATTTTCCCATAGGATAGGAGAAAAATAAAGTCTTGTTGAAAAGGATGAAAACGTGTAAACCAGGTTTTCCAAATAGGGTGGTTTGGTTTTAGAGCGTTGCACATGTTTCATTTAAGGCGTCTCAGGAAAATTAAGAGCTTCATGCAGTTTAAGTGGGAAACTTTAGGGGTCCTCCTTGCCTTTACCCATTTTGCATTACAGCATAATATGTATGACCGAAAATTCCCAGGACATAATTTAAAAAATGATCTACTTATATGGATACATGTAACATATTTAATTAAATATGTCCCCACCCCCAGGAACTATTCAATTATTAACACAAAGGACAACGGGGGTGGGGACATATGTAGAGAGGGGTTTGGGATGGCAATGGGGGGATGAGGATAATTATGTGATACCATAACCAATACAAAAATTTAAAAAATAATTCTTCAGAATAAGTTATTTACTCTTACGAATTCATAGTTTTGTTTAGAAACTCTAAAGTTACAAAGGTTGATTATTTTTAAATCAAGGCAGCCTGAGTTCATATAAACATCAAAGTTCGTTTTTACACTTTGAACCTGGTGGAAGTCTGCCAGTAGTTCATTTGACATCCTATTATGGAGCAAAAATCATGTAAAACAAGCATGCTAAACTCAAAGGCTAACATGGGCCAAATAAATGAGGCATGTGGCCCTCGGGTCGAGGGCTGAGGGCTGCGAGTTTGACATGCTTAATGTAGAAGTAAGACTTGAGTTCGGGTATTTACTGTCTGTATTCTTTGTTAATTGAAATGGCATATGTATTTTCTGTAGCACATGACTTAGGAGTAACACGTGTGACATGGAGGATACTGCACTGACTCTTGACACGATAGATGTTTCTTACCTGCCAAGTTCATCAGAATACAGTGTTGGCCCTTGTAAGCATGCAAGTGAGGAATGGGTAAGTTTAAGATGCGGATTGAAAGCTGTCAACCTAAAATGCTCATTCCAGTGTTGTGTATGAAGGTGGAAATGCTGGAGCCAAGTTAATAATAATTGGGAAGAAAAAAATGGGTAAAAAATTTAACTACAGACATTATGTTAAAAAGCAAAATTCTTTTGCATAGGGGAAAAAACCTACTCGTAGTTATTTTGGGTGTTGTAATTATAAAGCTTGTGTACAAATGTTTCAGTATCGATTTTCCATAATTATACCTAATAAGTATAAATTTTGTGATGGGAAATAAAGTTTATTTTAAAATATTAAAAATAGAAAATAAATTTTAGTATGAACCAAATCCAAAGGGCATACATTATCTTGTATTGTTTTCCCTATTTCAATTAATATGACATGTTTAAAATAATATTTTAAGCTGTATTGTAACAACTTGCTTACTATATAAGGCCTTGGTAGTTCTTTTGTGGGAGTGTGTACTTTAAGAGAGAGTAAGATTGACTGTTGTGATCCAGGAGTCAGATTTTATTCACTCTGACACCTTCAGAAGCTGTTTGACCTTTTTCCAACTTTGTTTTAAAACCTTGAACTCTGCTTTGAGTGAATCGTAGTTTTTGCCAGCTGTTACTATTCTTAGGTGCTCAGCTTCTGCTCATGTCCCAAGTGTTGATCACGGAGGGCGTACCTTGAATGAAAATCACGGTGAGAAACACATAATTATACCACTGCCCAAAGAAAAGTATGTTATCAGTTTCCCTTCTATCTGAAATATCTTAGTTTTTAGAGATCACGTGGACAAGTATAATGTTGCCATTTAGTGACCAGTTTTTCCTTAATATTTATTAGGGTGAGTATGGTTTCAGACCTACTGTCTTCAGATCTGCAACCTTAAAATGGAAAGAAAGCCTGTTGAGCCGGAAAAGGCCGTTTGTGGGAAGATGTTGTTATTCCTGTACACCCCAGAGCTGGGTAAGAATGCTATTGCTTGTTGACCTTTAATAAACCCTTGAAATACGTGGCGTAGATCTCCAACTTGGTGTGAATTTGGTATTGGGTGAATACCAAATAGACTTCATTCATTGATGTTGACTCAACTTTTCTTTCCATTCATATAGTCATTAAATGTTGGTCCAGTTGTTGATGCTAGGCGAGATTGGGGTTCTTTAGTAATTATTGGTGTGACTTTAGGGGAAGAACAGATCTTACTTTAAGTTAACTCTTCCAAAGAGTTTGTGGGAACCTTCATATAACTTCTTCAGCCCTGTGGCTTTGCTGTACTCTTGCTACGTTTCTATTTCGGGCTGATGGGGGAAGGGTGTCTGTTGACTCTGTGATAGTGAAGAATAGTCATTAATAGCTTAAGTAAAGACTTAAAAAAGAGTGTGTATGGGCTTGTTGTTTGTATTTTGGTGGGTAAAAAAACCAACAAAACAAAAGCCATGCAAAATCTTCTACATTCTGGTGTGGGTGTCATTTCTCAGCATTTATTTGAGAAGATCAGATGAGAGGTATGCTTCTGATGTCATTGTGCCAGAGGCATTAGCACAGGATGGTAGAATCTAACATGGCCATATCCTAAAATAGTAGAGTTACCTATTAAAAGGTATAACTGGATGCTAAGCTCTCTCTGAGATGGGTCAGTTATCAGGACATAGAAATTCTGCCATTTAAAGTCTTGTCGTTTACAATATAGAGATTGCTTATAACTTGTGTGAATTTTCTACTCAGAATTGGCTTGTCAGGAAATAGAATTCTGAGTCTAGGACAGTGGTCGGCAAACTGTGGCTCACAAGCCAGATGAGGCTCTTTGGCCCCTTGAGTGTGGCTCTTCCACAAAATACCACGTGTGGGCATGCCCATACAGCAATTGAAGGAGTACCCTAATTAAGTTAAAGACAGTGTACCTACCTATATAGTTTAAGTTTAAAAAATTTGGCTCTCAAAAGAAATTTTAATTGTACTGTTGATGTTTGGCTCTGTTGACTAATGAGTTTGCAGACCACTGGTCTAGGAAAAAGGGATTTACTAACCTGGAAGAGATTCATGTGGGACCCAAGCAGTTTATATTAAACTAGAGACCCAGTGAGTGAAATTCATGCATGGGTAGGGTCCCTAGTGGCTGCTTGCTGCTGCCACTGGCTGAGGTGGGGCTGGCCAGGGGGAGGGACCTCGGGCAGTTGCCCAAGTGCCTCCACCCTTGGTTGAACTTCTGGTCAAATTCCCAGTTGAGGGGACAATTTGCATATTAGGCTTCTATTATATAGGATATTTAAAAGGTGAAAGATTTATAGGGTCTGAAGAGAAAGCAGAGCATTATTTAGGTCTACTCAAGAATGTCTTGATATAAATAATGTTCCTTTCAAATCACAAGTGTCTTGCTGTAAGAATTTGGTAACGTTGAAATACCAGGAGTAGTGCCAGGAATAATGCCATTCAAATTAATAGACCAATAAAGATTTAAATAGAATATTATGTGTCTTTTCAATTTTAAAAATTTAGCATCTCATATAGCTCTAATTATGAATGCTTAAAAGACTAAAACAGAAGTCTATAACTTTATCAATTAGGACAAAAGATACACTTTGCACAAATAAATGCTGAGAAAGTATAATGTACCCTCAATAAAACATGTAAAAGTACTTAGTGAAATCATTTTTAGAGAAAAGGAAAATAGGACTTCAGAGAAAGGGTAGCAAATATAAAAAAATTACTATAAAAATACTGTCAACCGAAAACTAAAGTATAATAAACATGTAACGGAAGAAGTTTAAGATCAAGTTCAGCTCCTTTACTTAGGCATTCTAGTTCAGACACATAAATATCAAGATTATTAAGAGATTTAGTAGTCTAATAATAACTACATGTTACTTTTTTGTTGCTAGTAATTTTGTTTGCAGAACAATCACAGTTTTATTTCAGTGACAGAGCTTGTAGCCAATAGTATTGATTCTAGCCTGACACATAGTGTCAGTACCAAGATATAAAGCATCTCCTCTGCACTTTGTAGAAACTGGCCATGAATTATTTCCCTTGAACATCAAAGATTACATATGAAAGTACCTGCTCACTTGACAGTTTTCAAATACAACTACTGTGTTTCCCCGAAAATAAGACATCCTCTGAAAATAAGACCTAGCGCATGGAAAAATAAGACATCCCCTGAAAATAAGACCTAGCGCATCTTTGGGAGAAAAAAATTAATATAAGACACTGTCTTATTTTCAGGGAAACAGGATAGTAGTGAATCTCCTGTTGATTTTGGAACATGTGATAGATTAGTGCTTCAGTGGGGGAAGGATTCTAATTTCCCTATTTTGCTTTTTTTTTTTTTTTTTTTTTAGTTTCCTAGTTTTAGGGACACTGAAATCTCCAGTATTTCTGTCAATGACTTAAACTACCTGTTTTGGGTTGGAGGGATGGGGGACAAGAAAGGGAGAGGTGCTGTTTCCTTTGCAAGGTGTTAAGGATTAATTTTGAATTTGTGACCTTTAAAGGCTAAAAGGTACTTTTCAGTAAAACAGTTTCTCTTTAATATTTTGATTTTGAAGCATTGTCTAACTTTATGCTTGAATTTTGAAAGTTATCAGGTGCTAGTAATGTGAGCTCTTCACTAGCAATCCAGTTCTATATTTATGTTTGTTTATTTTGTTTTACATAGGATAAGTTTTTCAACCCAAGTATCCCATCTTTGGGTTTGCGGAATGTCATCTATATCAATGAAACTCACACCAGGTAAAAATAAATTTCTTATACTTCTAATGCATCTCAAAAAAACACACACACACACCTTTGTAATAAGCAATGTACTAGAAGATGAATCTCATTATGTTTTTGAGAGTTAATAGAATATGAGCTTCTGACTTAGGTTTTATCTAAAATTTGGGAACAGTATAGTCACCTGAGAGACCTATAACTATTGCCACTGCTGTCCTTACATAATAAATATTTTCTTGGCATGTAGCTATCACTTATAGCTTTCTCGGACTTACTCATTTATTGATTTTGCATCCGAAGTGTTCCATTGTGATAAAGCCTTGTCTGAGGAGAGGTTTATAGGTTTTAATGTCTTATGATCTATTATGACTATACTTAAAAAAAGAATAACTTTTATACTTTAAAAAAAATATAGCCAATTTAGAGTTTTTGAAGGTATTTTCCTCCGTGGTGCGAACATTCTTTGATTTATTGTTAGCTTCAGACTTTATTTAGAATTCTTACTTCCAAATTCCAGGCAAGTGGGGATAGGCTATTAGGCACCAGAGTGAGAGAAAAGAGGCTTTGTTTTATGTGAATCTAGGCGAGGGGATAAGGAAGGAGGGTGGCAAGGTTGTGTGAATGTCTTTGAGGCATGAGAGGAACAGCAGCCAAAAATGCTACCAGTTCTTATAATTCTAAGAGTAAATGCCTGTCATAGGGAAGTGGTAAGCTCAGGTGATGAGAAGTACTTGAATTTCTATGAAAAACTGACCCAAGAAGTAATCCAAATACTCAGATTTTAAGTCTTTCTGCTCATATTCTGATGATGAGATTGTAAAAGATCATGACATGTATATTCAAGATTTTTTTTAAAAAATAGAGCTGAAGTCAGGGGACATATTTTTTTTTTTCATTCCCACGCTCCCCCTTCTTTGTGCCCTCCCACCTCCGAGTTTAAAGGTGAGAGGAGAGATCCTGGTTCATTGATTTTTTTTTTTCTTTCCCTTGGTAGACATGTTTAAGATCCTAAGAAAAGAGATCTCATAGGGTCTCTTTTTTACATAAGTAACATTTAATCTATAAAGCCAAGGGGTCATCTGTTGCCCTGAGTTGGAGGCAGTTAAGAGGAAGTTCTATTGACAAGGCAGAATGAAACTCACCAATGTGATAAGCTGCCTGAGCATTTGAGTTGGCTATTTAAATCTGTGTTATATTAAATCTTTACATGAAGCAAAGTCTGAACAGTTTTACACACACACACACACACATGCATACACATGCACACACACACATAAAGCTTTTGGTCCATTGAAAAGGGATTTCATAGAGAGGTTAGACTTTATACATTCTGGTAATGATTCTGAAAGTTTTCATTGAAGAAAGAATTTATAATTAAACACTGAACATTCTGGGCCAAGTGTCCAGAAAATTGAGATGAAGGAAGGGAGGAAGAAATAGAGTTGGAGGAGCATGTGCCTCATAAACAGTTCTCCCTCAGGTGACTTCTCCTCCTCGAGGGCCTTTTGGTTCTTTTCGGAATAGACAGATTTATAATTGAAATCGTGCATTTACATCAATATCATTATGGAGGAAATGATAATGAGGCATTATATACTCAGTAGGAATGGCATCAAATCATTGCATAATGAGAGTTTGTAGCATTCTTATTCTGAGATACCTGTCCCCAACCCCTCATCCAAATAATACATAGTCATTGCTAGAAATATGTCCTATCCCTTAAGTATGTTGAGGGTGTGTGTGTGTGAGTGTGTGTGTGTGTGTGTTTGTGTTTTAAAGACTAAGAAATTCTGGAGAATACAACTTTAGAAGAATTACTGTAACAACAATAACAGAAAATTAACCCTGGGTGGCATGAAAACTTCCAAATTATCTTTTATAGCCCATAGCTATATATATATATATATATATATATATATATATATATATATATATATATTCCAACATATTTGCTTCTTTGTATGGGATTAATAAAGTAATATGTTTCTGTTTCTTCTGCTTCTACATTTGGTTTATTATTTGGCAGAGTAGCATGATCTAGGCATTAATACGCAAATTCCAAGTTTAAATTGTAGCTGAGAGCACATGAAAGAAATCGGGAGTAAAATTGTCTGAACTTCTAGGGAGAATTTGCTACAGGAGAAGCCCAATCTTGAGAGTGGGTGAAACAAGACCTTGTTTTTACAGGAGAGAGACCACTGTGCACTTTAGGCAGCTGTTTTAAGTGTTCCTGGAGTCCTTCTCTGATAAAGGGTTTTTCCCGTTGCAGGCACCGAGGATGGCTGGCAAGACGTCTTTCTTACGTGCTTTTTGTTCAAGAGCGAGACGTCCACAAAGGCATGTTTGCCACCAATGTGGCAGAAAACGTACTGAACAGCAGTCGGTAAGGGCAGGGGCACCTTGGTAAAGGGGAGAGGCCTGGGTGGGTGGCAGCAGGGGGAGCCAGGAATTAATTTCCTTAATTAACCTGTAGTGGCTCTGGGACTCTGTCTCCAGAGATGTTTGCATATCCAAGTTAAATGTTACACTCAGCACGGAAACCAAGGAAAGGCAGGCAGAGCAGGTGGTTTTGGTGGGCAATGCCCTGTGGGAGTGGCAGGCTTGTTTTATGGATTAACAAGTGAATGGGTTTCTTGAAGACCTCTCGGGGGATGTCGGGGAGCTGGTTTTGACCTGATCCCTGCAGGCCAGGCTGAGGGACCCCACTGGTGCACAATTCTATGCAGCGGGCCTCTAGTATGCATATAAGATCTTTGGTTAATCTCTTCCTGCCTTTTCTCCTCCCCCCTTCCCTCTGAGATCCATTGGTCTGTTCCATGTCTCCATGCCTGTGCATTGAGAATCTGCCCTCTGGTGGTCAGGGCACATCATAGCTACCAGTTGAATGGTCAAACGGTTGCTTAGGCTTTTATGTATATAGATGTTGCCACACATTAGAGAGGAGGTACATTTTGTTTTGTGACTTACAGCAAAATGCCAAGTGCCGAATATAGTACAGAACCAGTTACATTGTCTATCTTTCCACTTCCAAACCAGGGTGCAAGATGCCATTGCAGAAGTGGCTGCTGAATTAAACCCTGAGGGCTCTGCTCAGCAACAATCCAAAGCCATCAGTAAAGTGAGGAAGAGAGCCAAAAGGATCCTTGAAGAAATGGTCGCCACTGTCTCACCAGCAATGATCAGGTATGAAAGGCAAGGCAGAAAGTTTCCAACGAGAGCCTTCTGTTAGGAGCCAACAAGGTGGAACCATTGGATTTCCTCTGGTCTAAGATGTTTTAACATAGTCTGATGTCACACCCAACTCTATGTTCTTATTAGAGGCCCGATGCATGAAATTTGTGCAAGAGCAGGCCTTCCTTCCCCTGGCTGCCGGCACCAGCTTCCTTCTGGCACCTGGGACCCGGACTTCCCTCCAGCCAATGGCAGCCCCCGGGAACCTGGGCTTCCCTTATAGCCCTGGCTTCATCTGGAAGGACATATGGTCTAATTAGCATATTATGCTTTTATTATTATAGACTCATCTTTTATGGAAGTAGCACTGTGGTTGGCTTTAAGGTGCCTCTACCTCTGTTAATTGAAGCAGCCATTGCATTCCCGCTGATACTTACTCTCTAGACGAGGTGTGAGCCAGGTTTCACATACCCGTGTCTTAAAGGGACTGGTTTTCTGTTGTTCTGCTCCCTGAAATACTCACTTGGCCATTTGTTTATAAGCTCTAAGTGTTAGGTGAAGTGTAAGATTTTAGTTCATCATAAATGGATACTTTTATAAGTACCACATATGCAAAGTTAGCTGTTTTATTCTACAGTTCAGATACACAGGCACACAGAGTCACTTACAAGCACTATGTACACACACACACACACGTTTAAATTTGTTTTTACTTTCAGACTGACTGGATGGGTGCTGCTAAAACTGTTCAACAGCTTCTTTTGGAACATTCAAATTCACAAGGGTCAACTTGAGATGGTTAAAGCTGCAACCGAGGCAAGAAATACGGGAATGTGTCATTCCATCTTCTCCATGTGTGAAGAGTGATTTATAATTCTTGTGAAATTGTTCCCTTGTATACTGTTGTGCTTTCCAACCCATCTGGGAGATTTCCCCCAAGAAGATAACTGTGGAGCTGTGTGTGAGAGGGGCAGTGGGGTAGAGGAGGACCGGCCAGCCATGCAGGATTCCTTTAGAAATTACCTTGCAACAATTCTGAACATCAGGTAGAACAATCCCTATTTTATAAGTGAGGAAACAAAGGCTCAGATAGATTAAGACGTTTTTCCACGTCATGCTAATAGGTGGCTTGTCTGGGATTTCAGGCTGAATCAGCCCTGACTCCAAAGCCTGGGCTCTTGCCACATGATGAGTGCTGCTCTCAGACACATGTGGGCTCCACTTGAACTCTTTTAAATATTTTTGGTTTGTTTTTTTTAAATTGATTTTAAGGGAGAGGGAGAGAGAAAAATATAGATGTGAGAGAGTGAAACATGGATTGGCTGCCTTCTACACGCCCCCTAGTGGGGATTGAGCCTGAAACCTAGGCATGTGCCTGACCGGGAATCAAACTGGCAACCTTTCCGTGCACAGGATGATGCCCAACTAATTGAGCCACACCGGCCAGAGTGCAACTTGAAGTCTTAATTATTTTTCTCCTTCTCTAATATATATAATTTTATAGTTGTTTTTACTAGATACATATTAAATTAAAAGAATTCATGTTACTGAAAAATGTTTTTAAAGAATGAGTCACGGATTAGGCAGTGACTGAGTGACTCTAACCAAATGTGAAATTGCAAAGTATGATTGAAATGCACATTTGACCTTATATTTGGTGTTTTCCTTTCACCAGACGAATTTGCCGCTTATATTTCTACCGGTTCATAGATCCCACATTGACTATCTGCTGCTCACCTTCGTTCTCTTCTGTCACAACATCAAAGCACCATACATTGCTTCGGGCAATAACCTCAACATCCCCATCTTTAGGTAAGATGAGCTTATTTTGTAATTTAAGGTATGGAAAGGATTATATTCTAATTTTTTTTTCTTTTACCTTTTGACGTGATATTGAATTTTTTAAAATTTTCATTATAAAAGCAATGCACGGTCATTGTAAAAATTTTGAAATGTACAAAAAAGCATTAAGACTATCACCGTTATTTCTGTGTTTTATATGGGATACTTGGTGAACTCTACCTAAACTTTATGGGCAATATTTACCAAATGGATAAAGGGCAATTAGAAAGACAAGATAGCACATTACTGTATCAGGCTTGGCATTCGGGAGGTGGGATGGTGGTGATAGTGTAAAGGTAGTGAAGAAGAAGTATACCTGTTAACTTCCATCTTATAATTTAGAAGGGCTAAGAACCTGTAACCACTACAGTGTCACATGAAAGTGTGTATTTTAGTTTTTCAGGAGAGTGAAGTGCATTCCATTCAGAGGAAATAGTATGTGACAAGGCAGAAATGCAAAAGCATGGTTTATTCAGGTGATGGCAGAAGATTCAGTAGGGTTGGAATGTAGGATGCATTGGAGGGCTTGAGGCTGGAGGTGGTGACTGCATAGGTAGTGAGGACTGCCAAATGGTTTATAAGCCAGGAGTTCAGAGTGTATCCTGTACTTGAGAAATGACATGGTCATATTGGCATTTCGAAAACTCCTTCTGGATTAGAGGGAGTAAGAGCAATTCTGACTCTATTGCAATATTCAGGCAAAAGGTAATGAAGGCTTAAATTAAAAGCTCTGTAATGCTGTTGCAGAGGTGGGCATTGACTTAAAAAATGTACTAAGTTGAATTTACAAGAGCAAATGCTAGTCCACATGAGGGGCTCAACTGTTGGGGGGGAGGGGACGAGGGAGGGAGGAGGGAGGAAGACTCCCAGGTGTTTACCACTGATAAGTAGGGCAGCGTATCACCAATGGGCAATTGGTGAGGAGGAAGTTCTGTTGGTTAGGGAAGTTGCAGTTTCAAACAACATTGCTTAAAATACCTGTAAGGTCAGTTCTGTAAGTAGTAGAGAATAAGAGGAAGACGTTAGAGTGACTGAAGGAAGTGGGCTGGCAGGTTTGCAAGCTGTGAAGTCTGATCCTCAGCCTCACAGTCCAAGGAGCTCCATCCTAATTGCTTAGCTCCGAGTTCTGTGGCCAACCAGACTCACATGGACGACGGACGAGAAGCTATCTTTCGTGAAGTCAGCTGATACTCAGCTATGCTGTACACAGGAGTGAACAGATACATAGACCTTGCCTTCAAATAGCTCTCTAATCTACCAGACGGTGTGATATGACCCCACAGGGCAGAAGTGCTTTTCCAGGGACTAGAATAGTTTGTTTTTCCTGGGCACCTCTTCCCATTACCGAGGAACCTGGGGAGCAGAATTAGAAAATCATCAGAAAGTTGCTGGTAGGCATAGATTTAGAGCAAAGTCTGGGTTCTAGAGAAGTCTTGCCCCATTAAAGTTTGCCTCTTTTGTAATCAGAATAACTTACGTACTCATGCTCTACAGTTTCTCAACTTGGATCTCTTGGAAGTGCTTGCTAAACACTGATAATTTCTCTTAACTCAGCTTCCCTATCATGTAACTCTATGCCAGTCATTGCTTAGCTATCAGTCCTTCAGACGTGACAGACTAGATAACCTGGCCTGTTTATTGGCACCTTTCTTTGGTCACAAACCACTTCCCAGGGTGGGTTGTTTTAATGGGTGGTTCGTCTCATTCAATATGAACATATTCTGCAGATTTTACTCTCAGAGAGTGATTCTAAGCTCTATGAGCAACAATCAGTGTTACAGAAAGAGACCTGGATTGTGAAAAAATGTTTCATTCCTGTGAGTAGGAACATGAACCAGATTCCTGTTTCGTGTTTTGAAAGGATGGTTTTACTTGATAAAAGTATCCTTATCTCACAGAACACTCTGAACAATATTTATTTGAGAAAATTCTCCAAAGTAGCTTTCTGAAACATCGCATTCATTTTGTAGCAAATGTGCCATAGGAAGATTTTGGGAGGCCTAACGGTCAATGTCTTGAGAGGCTGGTCAGGGTTTTAAAATTCAGCAGTATTTCATTCATGATCCTCTGAACTCTATGGCATCGACTTTGCATGGTGATGTGTCAGTTAGGCTTCTTTTGGTGGGGGACACGGTGTATGGAGTGAGGTTCTAAAGGCTGACCAATAAGGTCCATGACCGGAAAATGGGAAAACATCAGTGGCTCGAGCAGCACGTGGTTTATAGTCACCTGGGGAATGCTTGGAAGTAACTTGGAATTTGAGCATTCTTTGTAACTTTTTGAATTCCTAGTACCTTGATCCATAAGCTTGGGGGCTTTTTCATACGACGGAGGTTGGATGAAACACCAGATGGACGGAAGGATGTTCTCTATAGAGCTCTGCTCCACGGGGTATGTCTCATCTCTAGTTACCTTGAAGCCGTTATGGTCATTACACACAGTAGATGGAAGAAGAGAGACTGTTGTCTGAGTAATTATTTGATTGACTACCGATTACTTTTTATCATCACCAAAATACACCAAAATATGCCCTGTTAATATTTGTGTGAGTGATTTCGTCGGGAGTGAAGTCCGTAGGCTTTTGCTTTCTGTTGCTGAAGTTCGCTTCGCTGAGCCTTCTGTGAGTTGGGCAGTCTCGGACTCATGTGTGACTTTCTCCTGGTGTCCCAGCACATCGTGGAACTACTTCGGCAGCAGCAGTTCTTGGAGATCTTTCTGGAAGGCACACGCTCCAGGAGTGGGAAAACCTCCTGCGCTCGGGCAGGACTCTTGTCAGTGGTGGTAGATACTCTGTCCACCAATACCATCCCCGACATCTTGATAATACCCGTCGGCATCTCCTACGATCGTATCATCGAAGGCCACTACAATGGTGAACAGCTGGTAAGAAGACTGCCTACCCCGACTCTTCTTCGCTTTTAAGTCTGTTGCTTTTAGAATTGCCTGGTTTTAGAGCTTTGGAGGAAACACGGCAGGGCGGGGCGGTGTGGGGAGTAGCTTCCGTCTCCGCCTCAGCCCACCGGTGGTGCTGATGCGGTGCGTACCTGCACCTGGAGGAGGTGACATGCCTAGATGTGCCAGTGCTGGCCGTGGCCATGGGATTGGGAAGTGGGAGAACACTTGGCACTATGGCCATCTCTGCTGAGGGGGTAACGGGGGGTGGGGGCCGGCGCTGTGTGGCTTCTCCCCAGACCTTACTGCTTATGTGCAGACTTTTTTTTAATTTTAGCCAGAAGGACTGATGGGATCCTGTCAACAAAGCAACTATAAATTAATTTGAGAAATGGCAGTAATGTTTTTTTTATAAGCTTCTTACTGAAGTAAGTGTAAGAGTTATAGAAGAATGCACAAATCATAAGATGAAGCTCGAATTATCAGAGTGAACAACACCCTGTAACTTACACTGAACTCAGGAAAATACTATCAGGACCCTAGGAACCCCCCTTTGCCCCTCATTGCCTGGTTCCCTTTGCTCAGGCAGGTGTTTGTGCGATTCATTCTTGTTGTATTTGCTCAGTTTGTTTATTCGCATAGTATTCTCGTGTGTGAATATGCCATATTTATCCTATTGTAGAAAAAGTTTGGGTTCTGGATTTTGACTGATCATTTCTGAACATTTCTCTTGATGACCATATGTGCATTCTGTGGGCCTGTATCTAAGAGTTTGGAATTGTTGGGTCATGATGTCTATACATGTTCAGCTTTCGTAAATACTGCCATACAGTTTTCCAAAGTGCTTTTACCAACGTACCATTCCTGCCGGCATTGGGAGAGTTCCAGAGGAATTTAGTGTTGTCCTTATTTAGTGTGGAAGTGTTGGGTAAGGTGCTTATATCAGGCCTGCTGCCCAGAACATGTCAGCAGCTCAAGGACCCTTGATAATTGGAGGCTTTAAAAGTTAAGTGATCGACACAGATTATCATCTGTACCTGTTGTTGAGATTACCCCTCAAGTTTGTTAGGTGTCTGTTCTGAATGTGTGTTCCACTCACGCTGACTGTCTCATGAGGTTATATCTGAGTCCTGCATCCACTATCTGGCCGCCATTGTGCCATATGCATGTTAAATATTCAGTAAGTGCTTACTGAATGAATAGTTAGCTTAAAGGCCACCGTGAGGCTGGATTTGACACTCGCTGCCTAATGATAGGTATTTGGACTCTGGTGATCATCAGGCCTCCGATAAGTGACCTCTTTAACATCTTATTTTATCTGAGCACTGCAGAATATTGTTCAACCTATGTCATTGTTATCCTTCTGTTAGTTTGCAGTTGTGTTTTTGTGAATGCTATAAATAGTGTGCTGAAAGAATTAAGTGTTAAATGTTTGGTTTTTCATTGACCAAATCACCTCTTCTGATGACACAATTACATCTTGAAGACTCTATGAATTCTAAATATTTTGACAGGTCTATGTCAATGAATACTTATTTCCCATGTTCATTCGCTCTTTTTTTTTTTTTTTCCTTCAATATGAACCACGAAAAACAAAAGAAACAAAAAAACAAAACACTTTATTCTTTAGATAACAGGATGTTTGCATATGTGTGAGCTTTATATCTCATGTCATTCTTTCAATATTGGAATTTAGGGAAAACCTAAGAAGAATGAGAGCCTTTGGAGTGTGGCCAGAGGCGTCATCAGAATGTTACGGAAAAACTATGGGTGTGTCAGAGTGGATTTTGCACAGCCATTTTCCTTAAAGGTGAGTGTCTGTTGGAATGAAGCTGTTTAAAGCATTGTGGTAGCTGGAGGTCAGGTCTGGGCTCTGGTCCTGCCTGCCTCTAGTCCAGCTTCTGTCGCCTCAGTTTCTTCTTCTGGAAAATGAGGACTACATCAAGAATGTCATTTCCTAAATTTTCCAACCAAAGTACACCTGCTAACAAAGGACAGTAAATATCTATCTTTGGGAGACATTAGGTTCAATGTTTATTGCTATTTTTTTTAAAACTCATGAGACTTTTGCATATTGTTTTATAATATATAACAATATTTTATATTGTGTTTTTAAATATTTATAAAAAATTTAGAGGAAGATTTTCAAAGCACAATCCTTAAAAGCTGGGTCCTAGTCAAACTAGGATGATCCTCTGAGTTACCGAGTGGGATCCAGGTCCCTTGTGTTCTGAGGCATGGGGCTGTCCTCGTGGGAAGCCTGAGGTCCTGGCAGTGCAAATGCCTAAGTTTTCCAGTTGGTTAAAGAGGAAGAAGGATGGGTGATGGAGTTGGGAACCCAGGGGGTCAGGGACAGAATTCTGCTCCTGCTGTTCCACTTCCTAGTTTTATTTTAAAAGATTCTCATTACTGTGCTAGATGCTTGCTGACCTTAATGCTTCCAATTCTTAAGAACCCCATTATTCTTACTATTAAAAAAAAAAAAAAAAGATTGCACAGCTTTTCTCTCTTGTTATGATTTGCTTTTGGGTTGACGTTCTTTTGAATATTATGTGACCCTCAGGTTGTCAGATTTCCTTTATATAAAGCATGGTTATGTCAGTTACCAATAATAATATTGGGGATGTCAAATAATATATTTAAGATGTGAGAAAAGTTAATTGTTCTCCTTTAATTTATAAATGATTTTGCTTAAGCATTATTCTGTTCTTTGTATTTTCAGTTCTTAAATTTCATGTCTGACAGCATCCTATTGGTCATTCTGGACTCCTGAAGATGGTTTAGGATATAAGAAGTAGTTCTCTGTAGCATAGCTGATTTGATGAAACAACTCCCTTTTTTACTTTTTGAAGATTGAGTATATTTTATATATGTTTATGTAATTGAGACAATGAGAACAAATGTTTGGTTTTTCCCCCTCCAGGAATATTTAGAAAGCCAGAGTCAGAAACCTGTGTCTGCCCCTCTTTCTCTGGAACAAGCCTTGCTCCCAGCTATACTTCCTTCAAGGTGAGGTTTAGGGGAATTTTTTATACTGGCTAAACTATCAGATATCAGGTCTTACATTGCAAAGAAAAATAGGTTAACTTGAATGAGAACATGCATGTTCTTACTTTCACTTCTGAGCTTGAGTAACTTTTAAAGTGATGTGCTTTCAAAGTTTGGAGGTTTTTTATTTATTTGCATTCTAAAATCTATTTGATAAATTTTCCTAAATGTTTTAAAATGAAGTATCTTGCTTTCTTTCCCTTTTTTTTCTTTTTTTTTTTTTTTCAGCCAGTGGGTTTGGAAATGATGTATCAGTAGACTATTTAGTTATAACTAAATAATGTATTTCCTCCAAGAGAGTGTATTGGGCATAGTAGAGTATATCATGGAGAAAAACAACCCATAGAAATAATCTACTTGAGGTTTAAATTTAGAATATATAGTAACTTACAGTGTGTTATAGACCAGTGTCGGCAAACTCATTAGTCAACAGAGCCAAATATCAACAGTACAACGATTAAAATTTCTTTTGAGAGCCACATTTTTTAAACTTAAACTTCTTCTAATGCCACTTCTTCAAAATAGACTCACCCAGGCCGTGATAATTTGTGGAAGAGCCACACTCAAGGGGCCAAAGAGACACATGTGGCTCGCGAGCTGCAGTTTGCTGACCATGGCCTTAGGCCATCATAATTTGCTTTGTGAAAGAGTGGGGTTGTAGAAGTCTAATTTTTAAGGAACTTTTTCAGACCCAATGATGCTGCTGCTGAAGGTGCTGAGCCATCCCCTGACGAGTCCAGCAATGAGACGGAGGAGTCGTTCCGGAGGAGGCTGATCGCTAATCTGGCTGAGCACATCCTCTTCAGTAAGTGGAGCAACAGTCTGTGGTTTGCGGTGCAGACCAGCGTGTTGCAGGGCAGACCGTACAGGTTCGGGAATCTGCTCTGCTTTGGTTCCACTTGCAGTTCTGGTACCTGATACACACACAGGTGGTGATAGATGGGTTATTAGCCAGAAGGTGATGTGGTGGGGTAATCGAGTAAAACATCTCACACAGGGCCCGATGAGTGGTGCTCATGCTTTAATCATATACAGCACTGCCACAGTGATTTCTTATCTCTTTTGCTCATGAATGTGTTTCCTTGAACTAACTTGTAGTGCAACTCAAATATCGAGGGGCCATTCTGTGTAACGTTTGCTTTAGCTGTGGGGATACAGATTGAGGAGCTAGTGGTTCAGCACCTACAAAGCCTGTGCTGTTCTCAGGGGGATAGTTGTACATAAACACTATGCGGAGTGTGGTGAGTGCAGAGCCAGTCTTCCTTAAGGACCAGATTGCAGTGTCCTGTCATGCGGTAGAGGTGGCTTTATAGTCCTGGGGCAGCATCTCAGTCCCTTGGTATGCAGCCCAGTAGGCTCTTGTCTCCACTTCTTGTCTCCACTCCATCCCCCATCAGCTCCAAATCTTAGCACTTCCTGCCGGTGTTGGTGTCCATGCCTTCTCTGGCTCATTCCACTTCAGCTGCTGCTGCCTCGTGCGGGACAGAGCACAGAGTGTTCTTTCTCAGGCTCATCTGACGTGTCTCTTGTGCTTGGATTCTGGATGCTAAAATAATACATCCTTAATGCTGGAGAGTTGGAAAATAAAAACAAAAGCCACTGTCCAAGTAACCAGCGTTGTTGCTGTCTGGTTTCTCAAAATCCTTCTGGCAGTTTTATCTTGTGCTCTTTTCCATTTGTAACACATTTGCATTTATGTGGGTTTTTTTTTAAACTCTTTATAAAAGTTCTTTTTGATGGCTATAAATATAGTACTGGATACTGTTTTGTTTTTTTAAACACTGGAGACAATATCAGCTGTGAATGAAGTATTTCATATCAGAAAACTCCCCAATGGCGTTTAGTTCAGATTATTCTACAGATGTTCTCGTATTTGATTTATAGGATTATAATTTTCTGCAAACTCAGAGTATTGTATATGGACTAGAGTCATTTCAAATGTATTTACGTCCCCTTCTTCCCGACCTCTCACCTATCTCTGGGCCAGGTTGAAAGAGGAGGTGAAAATACATTGAGCAGCATCCCTGTGGGTCCTGTGGCAGGCGTTCCAGTTTATTCTCACACAGCCCATGAACTAGGCCGTGCTCTCATTTTTCCCCTGAGGAAGCTGAGGCTTAGGAATTTAAGTAATCTCCCCCAAGTTGTGAAATTAGTCAGTGTAGAAGTTAAGTTTTGCGCCCAGATTTTCTGACTTCCTGGCCTGTGGGATGAGTATAGAAGTATAGTTACAGTAGACTGTCACCTGGGACAAGTCAAGAAATAGCAGTGGGATGTGCTGTAGAGCTCGGAGAATGGGCTCAGGCTTTGGGTCTTGATATTTTCATAAAGGTGTCTCCAGGTCATTCAGTAACTAAACTCCATTATCCTCAATTTAAGGTGCACCTACCTTAGACTGAATTCTGTTATACGACTGATAGTGATCTGTAATGGCCCAGAACACAGTGTGTGTGTATGTGTGTGTGTGTGATATACACACACACACATGCACATATATTATATATATATATATATATATATATATATATATATATATATATTTTTTTTTTTTTAAGTGAAACTGAAGCTCTGTGCTTGCCTTTCAGCTGCTAGCAAATCCTGTGCCATTATGTCAACACACATCGTGGCCTGCCTGCTGCTCTACAGACACAGGCAGGTATGTCCGCTGCATCACCTGAAGCTACAGACTACGCGTGAGACTGCTCTGTCAGCTGTGCAAATCTGATGCTCTGATAGATTTGGCCCATTCCTGGCCAGGACTGTGAGACAAACAGTAATATAAGCTAAGGACCTTGCCCACAGGAACTTACAAATCCAGTGACAAAATCTACATGAAAAAAACTCAGAGACTGTGTTTATGTATTATATATATGTGTGTGTGTGTGTGTGTGTATATATATATATTATGTATATATATATTATGTATATGTACGTATGTACACACACACACATACATATAAGAGGCCCTGATGCACAAAATTTGTGCAAGAGGCTCCTTAGCTGCCGCGGCAGCAGCCTCTGCCTCAGCCCATCCACCGCGGCTTCATTCCGAACGTCTGGTCTAATTAGCATATTATGCTTTCATTATTATAGATACAGTAATAGTAAGGCATTCTTTGAGTGGTATGGTTAATGTAAATAACAACATATGTATACACACACACACACACAGTAATAGACATACTTTGAGAGGTATAGTTAATATAAATAAAGCATATTTTAATTGACATGCAGATAGCAAATGGCTTCCCCGCTATTTGATTTGTGTTTAGGACCACAATGCACTATGCTAAGATGGGACTGGCTGTGTCTGTCATGTTCTCACCAAATGCAGTGCCAGTATCTATAGGCACCCAATAAGTATTTGTCAGATAGCTGTTTAATAAAGGGAAATTCTTGCTTAAAATAAGCACTCCTTACTTTCAGATGGTGGCTTCTGCTCTCTGTGATTTTAGGTGCTCATATCACATGTGTGGCTACAGTGCTCTCTGGATACGGAATATCAATTTCTTGACATTCTGGGGGACTGGCTTTTTAATACTTTTTTTTTTTTTTTTTACTTTCTCTGCATTGGTGTGGTGACCCCTTTTCTGTATATGCTGACATGAAGCTGCAGGAAAGCCAAGGCAAGAAAAAAACCCTCTGAACGGCCTCTTAGCTTTTGGGAAGTAGTTTTCCACTGTCATGAGACCATTTCTGTGTGTTTCTCTAGGGAATCGATCTCTCCACCTTGGTGGAGGACTTCTTTGTGATGAAGGAGGAAGTGCTGGCCCGTGATTTTGACCTGGGGTTCTCGGGAAATTCCGAAGATGTGGTCGTACATGCCATACAGCTGTTGGGAAATTGCGTCACAATCTCGCACACCAGCAGGAACGATGAGTTTTTTATTACTCCCAGCACAACTGTCCCATCAGTCTTTGAACTCAACTTCTACAGCAACGGTGTCCTGCACGTCTTTATCATGGAGGCCATCATAGGTATGTTGGGCTCTGGAACATTTTCACAGGAAATACAAGGCCCTAAAACACCCTGGAGTCTACTTCGGTTTGGATGATAACCCCTGGTTGAGGGAACGTGTTGCTCTATTTTTAAACTTCAAATAAAAATATAATCTGTATCACTGTTTGTAGCTTATTTTTACATCTATTATTCAGTAAGTAGCTCGTGAGTTAGGGCATAGTATTACACTTAAGATTGAGGGAAAGAGGTAAGGTGCCTTGGCATCCAGGAGTTGAAAGACTGAGTGAGAGGAGACAGACACGGGGTGGTGATGTGAGTGTTGGGGCTCAGTTGTGATCGGGGGCGCAGGGAGAAAGAGAACAGAGGGGATGGGCCCCAGAGGAAGGCCTTGGATGGAGCTGGGCTCACATGGACTCATGAGAAGTAAGTCCTGAGGGGATTTACTTACATTTCACCCTGAAACGCAGGGAATTATTTTTGATGTCGCAGTCCGGTAAGGTAGTCCGAGCTCTCTGAGCCAGTTGAAGTTTTCCTGGGAGCTCTGAGACTGCAGCTTCACTGATGCTTTCCTCTCCTCAGCCTGCAGCCTCTACGCAGTCCTGAACAAGAAGGGTGTGGGCGCGCCTGCCGCTGGGGCCCCCACCCTTATCAGCCAGGAGCAGCTGGTGCGGAAGGCGGCTAGCCTGTGCTACCTGCTGTCTAACGAGGGCACCATCTCTCAAGTAAGTAACAACTCTTTGCCTGTTCTCTTTTTCTTGAGCATTTTTATGAAGATACGAGTAGCTTGCTGCTGCTTGCCTCAGCTGGCCACCCATCCAATACTGCTGGTAGCTCTCCCCTGCTCATAGCTCACTGCCCCACCCTCCTGCTGATCCCTGATTCAGTGGTTGTGCACTTGGTCCTTAACGCCTCAGGGCGTGACAGATAATTAGCATATTTCTCTCTTATTATATAAAATAAACCAACTTTTGTCTTTTTCTATTACTGAGGCTTTGCATTCTACTCCTGACCTCTAGACTAATATGTTGTTTACTGTGTGGATGTGGCTTTTGGAGTCACTGCTCCAGTGACCGCTTTGTGCCCTGTGAGGTGTGTTGGGCAACTGGTCGACATTCGGCATCAGTCAGAACCAAGGTTACCGAGCTCTTATTCCACATAAAGCGCTAGGCCAGAGGTTTGTAAATAATTAACACTCTCATTCCTGGATGATGGAACCACAGACGATGAGAGTCAGAAACAGTCTTAAAATCATCTGCTCAGCTCCATCCTCACTTTACAAATGGGGAGACTGAGGCCCCGCAGTCCTGATGAGCATGCATGTTATGTCCACGCACTTGCAGACATTTATAAGGAGGCATACGTGTTAAGCAGTAGAGAGCTCTTTCCTCAAAGCCATCAACAGGTAGAACTCATTCTATTTATTTAAAGTCTATTGTCCTGCCGGGACTGGTTTGGCTCAGTAGATAGAGCATCGGCCTGCGGACTGAAAGGTCCTGGGTTCGATTCCGGTCAAGGGCATGTACCTTGGTTGCGAGCACATCCCCAGTGGAGGGTGTGCAAGAGGCAGCTGATCAATGATTCTCTCTCATCGATGTTTCTAACTCTCTGTCCCTCTCAATTCCTCTCTGTGTAAAATCAATAAAATATATTAAAAAGAAATAAAGAAATAAAGTCTATTGTCCTGCACGTGGGACGTCTGTGAGCACGTGTGTGATGAGAGCCCACCTCCACGGGCTTCTTCATAGGAGCATGTTGCTGGGCCTGTTGGGAAATCTGTTTTGCCTCAGCCTTGGGGGGCAATGGGGGGAGTCAGAAGGGAGAGGGTAAATAGGCTCTCAAGATTGCCTTTATCCTTTTCCTGAATCTTTTTTGAATATTGGACATTGTGTTTCCTCATCTACCACCTTTGTGTACAATATCTACACAAACCTTTGACAGGTTTTGCAGAGAAATTGTCTTATAAAGAAGAATAAATAGGTGCTGGGGTGTGACAAGTGGCTCCTCTAAGAGCTGCTTCTCTTGGGGTAGCGGGGAGGCTGAGCTTGGGAGCACCCTTTTTTGGGTGTTGCCACACTGTGTGCTCTGCCAGTCCAGAGAACGAGGCCTCTTCTGTGGCTTTGCCCATGACCACCCATATTTACCAGTAGGGTGGACATTGGAAATCATAGGACTGGCCCAGTCCTAAGGTAGGTTATATCATGGAAACATTTGGCAGCTACTTTGTACCGTGTTTTTCTGTTTTTACTAAAAGAGGTATAGGATTGTGACATTGACCTTGAAATGTCTCTTCTTTCCAGCCCTGCCAGACATTTTACCAAGTCTGCCATGAAACAGTGGGCAGGTTCATCCAGTATGGCATTCTCACGGTCGCAGAGGTAAGGAGAATCGCTTACCTTTGTTTAGTTTAGTTTCTTGCTCTTCATTTCCTTGTCCTTTCCACCAACTACTTTAATCAATATTACAACCAATTATTGTAACTGGTAATTACATTAGATCTGTAGTCAAATCTACAGAAGAGAAAAGTCAGCACGGGGAGAGTAAACGTCTTAGGGATTGTGTGACATTTTGGTTCCTTCTGTGTAAATGGTGTTGTCTAAAACCTATCCTGACAATTCCGGGTCCTGAAGTTGTTCTAAGATGAGATATTTTACCTTTCAGTGTGCTTGTAGCTTGCACATATGCATTTTTCTCTTTTGAGATTTTGTTTCAATGTTGGTAAATGTAGTAAAGTGAGTATGGCCTGGAAAAGGTGAAGGTGGTGTTATTTGATGTGTTTGGTAGCGCCCCCCCCCACCCCCCCGTTCCTTTCCTTTGTTCTTTCCTCGCTCTCTCCTGAGTGATTCTGAGTTTGGAGAGGGAGGTGGGTGGACCTTGTAAGTGGCGGGCAGAGAGGAGTGGAGAGGGAATGAGAGAAGCTGCCGTGGTGGGTCCAGCTGGCAGCGGCATGTGCCTGTGCCTATTTGCCGACTCTTGCTCGTTCCCTGGCATAGCAAGATGACCAGGAAGATGTCAGCCCCGGTCTTGCTGAGCAGCAGTGGGACAAGAAGCTTCCCGAACCTTTGTCCTGGAGAAGTGATGAAGAAGACGAAGACAGTGATTTTGGCGAGGAGCAGCGAGACTGCTACCTGAAGGTACTTTGGGGAAGAATTCTGGAGGACTTTACAGTGATGACTTTGAGGTTCATGTTTCCATTAGCTAATGAGGCTGATAAATTGGGACCCTGGTGACTCATTCATAGCCAAAGCCCAGCGTGGTGCTTTCTGCCTAGTGAATAAAGGCTCTCGAGCTGTTGAATTAATACCTGAAATGGTTCAGCTTGAGTATAATTGAATGGAAGAGGAAACAAGTATGGACATTGAGAAAGGTGAATGTCCTAGATGGTGCCATTCATGACTTTGCATAGAACAGGCAGGTGCAGACGTGTGCCCACATCCGCACTCACGCCTAAAGAGGCGTGTTTGTGTTCAGTCACCAAGCAAGGGGGTACCACACCAGCTGTGGGAGAGAATATCTCCCCACTGTCCTTGGCCTGGCTGCTCCTTTTGAGTCATTGTCAGTCTTGCCATCCCTTCTGAATGTTCTGCATCAGCTGTTTGCCTTTGATGAAAACAAATCCTATCACAGGAGAAAATTTGGACTTTTAGAAGTTTGGTTGTCCCTCATTTAGAAAATAAATTTTGTCTAACTTAAAATTTTAGAGATCAGTAATAATGACCCATCTTTTCTGAATACCCTAAGTGGGTATTTTCTCTCAGTAAGTTGACATGCCTAGTACACACACACACACACACACACACACACACAGTCAGGAGATATGGCTTCTGGAGATTCCAAATGGCAAATTTTTCCATTTGGGGTTTTATTGGTTTCAAGATGGGCCAATGATCCTGCTTTCACACACGAGAGTGACTTATCTGAACATGCAGGTCTTGGGGCGCACAGGGAGAGCCTAGCCATTTCCCATCCTTGCTGGACTTTGGGCTGAAGGACGATGGGGGATGCCAGGAAGTGGGACTAGGGAGGACAGAGATGATCTTGTGATCTTGTCATGTGACCTTCTTGTGTCCTTGAGTAACTTTTGAGTCAGGCTTCCAACCCCAAAGAGATTAATCTCAGGACCAGCCACTTTCAGTGATGACAATGTGTCATAATTGTGCTATTCAAATACCGAGATTCCTTCTAGGCAGCTGCTCAATGAACGCACATCTCAAGTCCTGTAAAAGTCAATGACTGAAAAAGAATGCATTTCAGCACCGAGAGTCATTTCCCACAGAGCCGCTCCCTGTGCGCATGAGTGGCAGGCGGCGCTGTGCAGGGACCACAAGAGCCATCTTCTCAGTCACTGGCTCTCCCAGGAGGGTCCCCTGTCAGCGTGCTGTTGCTGCTGTGCCTCCGCATGCGTTGTCTCTGCTCTTTCTCAGGTGAGCCAATCCAAGGAGCACCAGCAGTTCATCACCTTCCTGCAGAGGCTGCTGGGCCCGCTGCTGGAGGCCTACAGCTCCGCTGCCATGTTCGTCCACAACTTCAGCGGGCCCGTCCCCGAGCCGGAGTACCTGCAGAGGCTGCACAAATACCTCATAACCAGGACAGAAAAAAATGTTGCCGCCTATGGTACGCGTGCCACTGGTTTGGCTTCTTTTAAATGTCTGACTTCTTAGATTACAGGAATGCTAGTTATAGGTGGGGGGGAATTGCAAAATTATCCTGACCTCTCAGTCTATAGTCCCATCATTTGTGAGGTTCCTGCATGTAGTTGTTTGTTTATTCTTATTGCTTTGTAGTTTTGCCCATTATATGAATATTTAGCACATTTTATTCAGTCAATTTGCTGTTGATGTATATTTGGGCTGTTGGCAGTTCAGAACCCCTGGGAGTAGGCTGTTTGGCACAGGTTTGCACACACATTTTTGGGTGGACATGTTTTGCAGCAGGTTGGGTGCATATCCAGGAGCAGAGTTGCCTGTTCACAGGGTGTGTAGGTTCAGCGTTAGTGGGTCCTGCCAGATGCTGCCCATTTGGGCCAGTTGGCACTCCCACCAGCTGGGCTTGCTCAGTTGCTCCACCTCCTGGCTGGCACTTGATATTATCTGTTGTGTAAGAGGCGTGATTGGGGTGGGGGCAGCATTTTATACACTTAGGGTTTAGAACTGAAACAACTGTGAGTAGGAATTTTTAGAGACAGAGGGACCTAGAGATAGAGCTTTACCTAGAGAGATGTGCAGATCCGATCTAGATCGGTCACTTTCTAGATGACGCAGCCACTCAGGTCACATAGCTGGTTCCTGGGCAGAACTGGGTTGGAACTCCTGACCTCCAGGCTTGTGCTCTTTCTGGCCCCACTGCTGCAGCAATCTCTGTGCATCAAACATGGATTTCTACGCATCTCCTTTGATTCTCACAAAACCCCTTTAAGGCAGATGCTTTAATTATTTCTCCTTCCCTTTCTCCCCCCTTCCTTTCTCCTCTCTCCCTATCTCTTTTCCTCCTTCCCTCCTGCTCTCTCTTTCTCCTTATTCTTCTCTCCTTTTTTTCCCCTTAAAAGATGGTAAAGTAGGTTTAACGTGGAGCTGCCCGCTGCTAACTCGCTCTGATGCTCTGGCCTCTGCACTTCTCACTGTGGATGTGGGTTTTGCTGGGCTGAACATTTGACAGGGTCTCGCCCTTTCTCTACAGCTGAGAGTGCCACATACTGTCTCGTGAAGAATGCTGTGAAAATGTTTAAGGATATTGGGGTAAGTGCCCGCCGCTGTGGTAGAAAAGCATGTGTCAACCTCGGTCCTCTTCTCCTTTAGACCTGGTCTGTCTGAGTCACCTTTGGGGTGGGTGGACCCTGAGGGGAGCCGTTTCTGCTGGATTAGCCCTGAAGGCCTTTTGGGGGATGTGTGGGGCATGTTAAAGGTGAGGCCTGCCAGTGCAGCTTTCTTTGAAAGTTCCAGAGTTTTGCTGGTTTTCACCTCCATTCTAAACCTGTTTGCATAGAATATGTCCCTGTATTTCTAGATGCTCTGGCCGCTGGGCAGGGGTGTTGATGGTGCCCCATAGTTCTGACAGATTTTGCTGTATTTTACTCTTAAGTATTGCTAGAAGAATCCTCAGCTGTGGATTACTTTCTCGTATCACATGGCACTGGGTTCCACAGAGGTAACAGTGGGCTTTGTCAGGGACCGTGACTTTATTCCACCATAAACGGAAGAGGCTAGTGCACTGGTTGCCCTCCCAGAAACCATCACCACACCTGCTCCACAACCCCCGCCCTGCTCGCAGACACGGGCAGAGCTTGTGCTTAAAGGCAGGAGCCAGTTTGTTATGTCCTACTGCTTCTGGGGTTTCAGACACCAGTTAGGGTTGGTGACGGGAATGTCCTTTTTTTTGTTTTGTTTTTGTTTGTGGATTTTGTTTGTTTGTTTGTTTATTTGCATATAATTGAAACTTTCTCTCTAGGTTTTCAAAGAGACCAAACAAAAGAGAGTGTCTATTTTGGAACTCAGCAGCACTTTCCTACCTCAGTGCAACCGGCAGAAACTCCTGGAATATCTCCTGAGCTTTGTGGTGCTGTAGCAATGAGCTGCTGGCAGGTGAAGGGCGTGCATGGCCCTGGCAGGCTCAGCCCTTAATGGCTCCAGGTGGGAGGTGCGTCCTGCGGCCAGGCCTGCCCTGCCCTGCCCTGCCATGGCCTCCTGGAAAGCAAGTGCCTTCTCCCCTCCATGGGCCTGTGACCATCCCGACTCCAAGGCGCACAGTGGCCCGCAGATAGCGCTCCGGGGGCCCCAGCCTCCGCTTGCAGTTTCTAATCAGTAGATTACAGAATGAAATCTCAGCAAAGATTTTGGAGTTTATTAAAGATTTACATTTTAAGTATAACTGTTAAGGACTAATTAATGTGAAGGACAAAAAAAAAAAAAATGTAGCTGTACTAGTAACTAGTATTCCTGAACTGAATCTTGGTGATACGTAATGCTATCGGGGAATTCATTGGTACATTTTCTGATTAACTGTTAATCCTTTAAAAATAACTGTCAACCCAAAGTGCTTTATGAAAGAGTGGGCAGCTGCACATCCTACCCAGGTATCCCTGTGCTGGCCTGCGCTGGTCAGATTGAGGATGTGTTTTCAGAGCTGCGCGAGAACACAGTGTTAGATTAGGTCAGGGATGGAGATAGCATGATGACATTATCTGACACCAGGCTGGCAAGATTCAAGGTGAGCTTGGCCAGAAAACTGACTTGGAAAACTTATGCTCAGATAAAAATGTACCACTGTGTTTTAAATGACCAGCAAGTATTTAGGAATGACTTCCGTTTCATGGCTGTACCCTTTCCCACCCCTCAGGTGGTCCCTGCCTCTCATAGGTATGGCTGTCCCAGTGTGGTTGGCGCGGCCTGGGAGACTTGGTGCAGAAAGGGCTCTGGCTGAGGCTGCTGGCACAGGGCTTCCTGTGCTGCACACAGTGTGTGTGTGAGGCTGGCTGGGGGCCTGGGACCCACTTGGGGCAGGCAGTGTGCCACCCGTGCGGCCTTAGTGTGCCACCCGTGCAGCCTTCGTGGTGGCCTGGTGAATGGTTGGAGACATTTATGGATCTTTAGCTGGGAGGCAAAATCAAGGTTCTTTAAAAATTTAACAAGTTAATATGCCTCAACCCTGATGCCACGTAGCGGCAAATCATGAAAACTTGTCTCTTCATAATAGAGGTGCCTTTTTGTGAGCGGGGAGCATTAAGTGTTCATCAATTTTGGTAATTTTTGGTGATTTAAGATGTGATATTAAAACATTTTCTCACAGCTCATTGTTCCTCCTCTCCAAGGTATTACGGGATGAGGAACCCTCCTAATGAATATTGCATATTGTCTTTGAATTTAATATAGAAGTACTGAGAATGAAGTTTGTGCTTTCATAAGCTTGGATTTTAAACACTAATCGTATCTCATGAATATTCTGTGCTTGGGAGAGGAAAGGCACTGACTGACATTTCACTTTGAATGAAATGTCTCGTTTGGAACTCATAGCAATAAGGTTGTGCTGCTGCGACCCCCACTCTTTGCAGATCCCCCGTTTGGAACATACTTTCTTAGTAGGAAACGTGTACCATTCAGCTACCATCAGTGTTGTCGGCTTCGGGGTAAAGTGTGGGCTTCACCTTGTGGCTTCCGTTTTACTAACCGGGCGTTCTGTGTCCGGGGGGAGCACATGGGGAGGCTTAGTTATCCCCTCGGGTGCTCCCTATGGGGGCCAGCCAACATCTAGACTCTTGACTTCATCCCCTAAATTAGCGACCAAGGTTGCTCAGACTGCCTCTCCCCTCTCCGGAATGTCAAAGCTGGCAGACTTCCTAGTGGCTGACGCTGCTGCCCTGCCTGTGATTCTGCTGGAGCCGCGGCCGGGCCAGCCCGAGCAGGGACCACGGCTTCGGCTCCCCTGGCTGTTTCCCTCGGTTTCCCTCTCGGTTGGTTTGTTTGCTAGGAATCTAATCAGATGCTTTGGGGAATGCAATGTATGGTTCACTGGGTCTCTCGCCACTCAGCTCACTGTGAGAATAAATATGCATGCCTTTTTTGTAATTAACTGGTGCTTCAAACCCTTTTTAAGGAAGAAAAATCTCAACCAAAGTTATGCTCACCCAAGCAAGCTCACCCTCGTTGCGAGAACACCCGTATGACAGTAAGGTTTCCAGCTTTGCTTAGATTTATTCTCATTGTTTCCCCGAAGCGGATGGCGTCCATGTACGATTAAACAAACTAGGTGCTTGTAAATAATTTACTACCGTTTACTCTGCATTTCTCTGAATCTGAAATGCATGCCTCGAGGGAAAGGCTGTGAGTCAAGTTACAAAACCAACAAACAAAAAACTCCAATCATAAACGATATGAAACTGCTCTCTTTCAAAAAGAGAATGTCCCAAGTCACTCAGAAAAAGGGAAGAGCTTTTGATCTCTTACATTTTAAGAAAAACAAAGGGAAAGAACTAGGGTGGAATGTGTGGGACTAATAACAGGAATACCAGGAGCCTCCCTTTTGAGTGGAGAGAAAACCTGGGAAAGGCTGGGAATGCAGGCTCAGCTGTGGAATTCCCGTCACCTGAAGGGAAGCATTTCCCGTTGTTTTGGGGGCAGCGTGCTCCGGGATGGCGGGCTGCTCTGCATAAGAAAGTGTCCCTGGGAAAGCAAGTTTGGCCGTGGTCCTCTTCCTGGGAACTCGGTGCGCTCAGCACAGTGAGGGCGCAGGGTCTGGGAGGACGCAGCCTTTAACCAGCGACCCCAGGACCCTTTCCCCTTCCGGACATCTGGGAACCACTCACTGGTTCCCCCTGAAAAACATTTTGGGGAACACTAGGTTAGGCAGTTTTTTAAAGGGATACAACAGTAACTGAGAAGGCATTGAGGCTTGAACTTTGTGGCCCGTGTTACATTTAGTGTAAGGTGACCAGATGTCCCGCTTTTGGCGGGACAGTCCTGATTTTTAACAAATTGTCCCGCGTCCCTTGGTGTTTTAAAAAAGTCCAAAAGATTTAAAAGAATCTCTCCAAAAATCGGGACTTTTTTAAAACACTGCAGGAGACGGGACAAATTGTTAAAAATCGGGACATCTGGTCACCTTAATTTAGTGGCTATTTCCTCCCCTACTGACAGCACAGAAAACCAAGACAGATGGCCAGGCCTGTCCTCAGTGGGAAGGATCAGTGTCAGCAGTGCCGGGTTTTTCACTGAAAGCAGCAAAATTAACACAGATTAACTGGGGTAAGATTTTCATTCAGATTTAGAAGAAAAAAAATTGCACAATTGAATGTAGATTTTTATCCACAGATAGTTCTAGTATTTAGAAGTGACAGGACCTATGACTGAAGTTTATAAAACTTAATTTGGATGTAAATCTTTTTTTAAACACTCTTTTTAGGAACTGGAGACTTGGCATCTGGCATTTTAGTTTAATACAAACTAATGATTGCATTTGGAAGAGGCTTTTGAATTTCTTTCTAAACACCTAAAGCACAGAAATGCCCTGAGGGAAGGTATTAAACTATGTGCCTGTTGTACAGAGAAACATTGAATTGTAAAAGGAATTACTCTCACTGTGAAATAACACTGTGTGATTTTATGAGCAGCACTTAATTTGGAAACATTAATTGATTTTTATGCCTGTTAATAATGTATTGTAAGAAGCACAGACTTGTAGTTTTGTTTTAATAAACCAAAAAAAAAAAAAAAGAGAGAATATATTCTTGATGTCTTGCATTTGTATTTAAAAGTCCCCTACATGTAATTTATTATACAAACACTTGTTCTTGTTTGACTTCACACAGAACTTTATTAAAATGCTTTAGAAGAAACTCTCTTACATAAATTTACAAGCCTTTGATGAGTGATTTATTACTGACTCAGAGCTCTGGAGCTGTGATCAAGCACTGGGGAGGTAGGCATATAGATACATCTCAGCTGTTGCTCCCCTTAGAAAATAAACGTTCACATTACAGATATGTTCTTTGGGTGTCTGAAAAACTCCTTTGCACTCGGATGAGAATGCATAGTTTTATAAAGTTGATGAAAATACGTACTGAAGTATTGGGTTTTTTTCTACTAAGTCAATAATTGCTCAAAAATACTAGTTTAAGGAAGGCAAGCATATTATTAAAGCACTGTTTTCTGTGGATCCTTTTTAAAAAAAAATATTTTATTCATTTTTTCAGAGAGGAAGAGAGCGACAGAGAGTCAGAAACATCGATGAGAGAGAAACATCAATCAGCTGCCTCCTACACACTCCCCACTGGGGATGTGCCTACAACCAAGGTACATGCCCTTGACCGGAATCGAACCTGGGACCCATCAGTCCGCAAGCTGATGCTCTATCCACTGAGCCAAACCGGTTTTGGCATTCTGTGGATCCTTATAAAGCACTCAGATGCAGCCTTCTCTCAAGTGAGCACCCTCTGGTAGGGGTGGTCAACATGTGCCCAGTGATGCTGCCCGTGACCTTTGGGTGCCTGGCATGGCAGAGTAGATTATATGTGTACAGCTCACACATGCCTATATACACATACAGGCATGTATGTGTATATAGGCATGAGAACTTGAACCATCTTCAAATTTACCTGTAAGGAATTGTTTATAAACATCTAACAGCTGCATCTGGACTTGAACCATCTTCAAATTTACCTGTAAGGAATTGTTTATAAACATCTAACAGCTGCATCTGGACCCACCTTGGCTCATATCAGAAGACAGCAGAGAAACAGCCTAGATTTCCCCTCCCCCCCATGTCTCCCCTTCACTGAATTGTAAAAGGAATTACAGACCCCCACAATGTGCACCTTATAGTGCTTTGGGAAGATTCGAGGCCACATTCACACACTTCATCATTTCTCTGTTGTTGCAATGGTGAGCAAAACACCCCCACTTCTGTTTGTGTGGCTCTAGGTGTGCATGGGGGGTGGGCAGAGAGCTGCCTGTCTCCTTGTAAGAAGGAGAACAATCATCATGAGCAACTTGAGGAGGGATTGACTGGTCTCTCAGTGGACCTCAAGCATGACTGACAGACCAGCAGAATCAGCCGTACCTGGGAACTTGTTG